GGATGATGGTAACTACAGTATTTACTTATAGGGTTGCTCCGAAGAGGGAATAAAAAAAAAAAAATACTAAGGGCACTTGGAACATCACCTGGGACATGATAAAAGCTGTTTTTCATATTTTTTGTATACATGGAGGCATGGGGAGTAGTGGGAGATGATATTAATTTATGGGTATTACTACGAAAAATAGTGTGTATTTTTGGATATTTTTACTTACATTTCAGATTGGTAACCAGAAAGCTCCTGCATTCTTCCAACCTTCATCTATTCTGTTTTTTACTTCTTAGAATAAGCACAGGGATATAAAAGATATTTTCTGTAAAGTATATTTTTCTTTATCAAGATAAAATCATACGAAGTTTACCATTTTAACCATTTTGAAGTATACAATTCAGTGGTTTTTAAGTATATTCACAAAGCTGTGCAGCCATCACCACTATCTAGTCCCATAATATTTTCTCTGTCCTAAAAAGAAGCTTTGTTTCTATTACTTATCTCTCCCATTCTCTCTTTCCCCAGCCTTAGGCCACCACTTATCTGTTTTCTGTTTCTATGGGGTTTGACCTATGCTGGACATTTTCAAATGGGGTCACTTAGCATAATGTTTTTGCATCTAGCTTTCACTTTGCATAATGTTTTGAAACTTTGAGTTGCAGAGTGTACCAGTACTTTATTCCTTTTTATAGGCAAATATCCCATCACCTGGATACACCACATTTTGTTTATCCAGTCAGTTGTTAGACATTTGGGTTGTTTCTACTTTTTGGCTGATATGAATAATGTTACTGTGAACATTTGTGTACAAGTTTTGATCTGAACTTATATTTTAATTTCTCTTGGGTATTTGGAGTGGAAATGCAAGATCATATGGTAGGTCTATATTTAGCTTTTTGAGATGCCACCAGACTGTTTTYCAGAGCAGCAGCACCATTTTCCTTTCTACCAGCAATGTAGGAGGGTTTCAGTTCCTCCACCAGAGCAGGATGCTTTTGAGTCAAAATAGCTTTTCGGTATGTGTTAGTCAGTTTTCCATTGATGTGATCAAATACCTAACAAGAATGATTTAGGGAAGGAAAAGTTTATTTTGGTTCATGGTTTCAAATAATTCAGTCCATCCGGGGCTGACTCCATTTCTCTGGGCCCAAGGAGAGGCAGAACGTCATGGTAGAAGGGTGCGGTAGAACAGCCCTGCTTGGTTCATGGCAGCCAGGAAGCAGAGGGAGAAGGGGTAAGGGGCCACAGAGAAGATAAACTCTTCAACCGCACTCCACAGAGATCCACCTCTCCGCCATGTCCCGCCTGCCCACAGTTACCACCTAGGACAGTATTCCTTTCAAATGACTAATCCACCAAATGGATTAATCCACTGATTAGGTTTCAGCTCTCACAGTCTATAATTGTTTTATCTGAAGACCCCTGCATTGATACAGGAGCTCTTGGTGGACACCGCCTAGCCAAGCCATAACACAGTATTTGGTTGTTGAGCATTTTGCAACCAATGCCGAGACAGAGACTGGCAGTTTACATTTAAAGTCCTGACTAGTGTCACCTGGCAAAGGTAGTGCCTCCTTTCTGGAAGGAAATGGCAATTTCCAAAGTACTGTCATACAACGAGCTCCTTGGAAGAATTCCTGATCTTCAATTTGTTTGACCTAAGGGAGCCCACTGTGGGGCACAGCACACAGGACGGGTGACTCCAACCCTGGAGTGCAGAGTGCTTCCTGTGACTTCCTGCCATCCCCAACCAATGCTAATTTCAAAGCCTTTGGGAGACTCCACATAAAAACCGTTTAAGAGATAAACTTAGCTTCTAGAATTGTTAAAATCCGTATGTCTCTAAAGAGTAAGTAAAAAAAGAATTCARGGTAATGTAAAACACACTTTAATATCTATATCCGGCTCTACTGAGGAATGTTAAAAAAGGAATTTTCCATTTGGGGCTTTTAGCTTCTGAAGCACCATTTCTCTTGCTTTTTTATTACACCCGGCATTTTCTTCTCCTTATTTGTAATTTATATAGATTTTTGTTTGCAATTCAAATTGAATCTTATTTTAATGAGATTATGGAATGGGACAACATGATCATGAAAACAATTCGCATTGCAAACATCAGTGCCATCACTCTTGTAAAGAACTTTCTTAGTCTAAGGTCATCTGTACGTGCTTCTGCTTTGCCGTCCTTGTGACAATCTTAAAATATCCCCAAACACGAGGAGTCCCAACAGGAAACTTTAAAAAAAAAAAAAAAAAACAGCACTGTATTCCCTGAAAATGAGACTTTTAAAATTGTAGCCTGCCACTTTCCCTACCACAGTAATGGGAACTTACTGAATAGGAAGCAATTTCAGCACTTAAATGTGCTGATGTGATGTTTCTTAATCACTTTAATGAGTTTCATACAACTAGAAATGGAATAGAATTTTCAATGGAAATATAATTAAATAGAAAAAGTCATTTCCTAAACTTGTAATATCCAACTGATTATTTCTCTATTCACCTCCCTAGAAAGTGTGCCTTACATACATAGTGATATTATTATAGGTAATTTGCATAATTCTTTTAGGTCATTAGATCTGAAAACAATATTAATACACAACAAATTTTACTACAAATCAAGCACAGCAAGGCACCGTAAAACTTAAAAACCTTTATTTTTCTTTTTAAAGCCTGATAATATTTATTACTTTCACCTGGTTTTCCTCCCATTTGTTGCCTAAATCCAGATTGGTCTTTTAATTACGTCTTTTTGATCTGCCTTGCTTTAGAGAATTCTCAGTGGAAACAGTCACATGAGTCAATTAAAAACTGTAATAGATCTTTGGAAATACTTAGTTTTTGTTTTGAATGATTTTGCCGAGAAATGGTTAATAAAAAAAGACTATTATACATGTCTTGCATTGTAATGCCCAGACAGAAAAGAGCTTTTATATTTACTTGATTTGTTCTGAGTTTAATTCATAAGTTTACTATACTGCTTTTGAAAATCCAGTAGATTGTTTCTTAAAATAATTTATATTTGTTTATTCTTTTTAGATACATGACAGTAGAGTGTATTTTGACATATTATACATACATGGAGTATAACTTGTTTTAATTAGGATCCCATTCTTTGTTTTTTTTTTTTTAAGATAGAGTGAGAGAGAGAGAGAGAGAGAGAGAGAGAGAGAGAGAGAGAGAGAGAGAGAGAAT